GTAAGTTCGGAAACTGAGGAACAAATTAAACGCAGGAATAATTTCGTACTGCGAAACATTCCGAGCCAATTATCTGCTATGGAAGGAGCGCATGTGTTCCTACAAAGTTGTGGCTTGAGTTTCAGTGTCGCACAAGCTATGCGACTTCGCGAGATTAAATATCTTGCATAAGAGGGATGGGAAGATCGTGTTTGCATCGGCTTTTAAAATGCTTACTGGGACACCATCAGAGCCTTGACTATAAGATTGACGAAAACGCCGAATCGCAACAGTCACATCCCACAGAGTGAAACTTATAGTTTCTAGAACTGCCCCGGTCAATGGCTGGATGGTCGGAAGCGGAGTGGTCGAGCCTTCAATGAACGTTTTGGACAGGAAATCATTGAAGCTATCAGCGGTTAACTGGGCATCAACTATGGGATTTCCGAGAGCGTCTCGGAGGATGGGATGCTGCGTCTTTCTATGAGTTCGTAGTTTTCTAGAGAAAAGCTTCAAGACATTTCACGAATGGTTTTCGGTAAAATGGACCTCTTCGGCTAGCTGTTTTTCTTCAGACAATCTCTTAGCTCGATCAAAAATATCACAAATCAAGGGCACGACAGAAACATCGTTCTGAAGATGGAAACGACGATAAAGCCTGCGCAATCTGCGACGAAAGGGTAAGGGTAGGAGAATCTCATCCCCAACATTAATAATTTTCTTACGGGGGACAAAACGAGAAATAAGCGGATCCAAAATTTCGTACAGATTTGCAGTGCAAACATTTACATCCGAACTAAGGAAGAAATCAGTCCAGTCGTAGGAATTAAGGTGTGTTAATAATTCGGTTGAGCGAGTTGATCGGAAATTGCGGAAAAAGCTATACTCTGGGGACGACATTTCGTCAGCCTCGAATTCCAACGTTGAAACAACTATGTCATGGTCTTAGCCCCCGAGTGGGCCCAGGGATGACACTGACGATGGCAAGCAGCCTCTACAGAAAATTACGTAAAGTATACTTGAGCCTCGGCTGGGTAAATCGACAACCTGAGTCCACATCCCAACATCCACAGCCTCAAGAAAGTCTTCGAACCTTCTGAGGCCTGAAGGCGGAGATCAGCGGACTTCGCGAAGATTAAAGTCACCCGCAACCAATTGATACTTAAAGCTTGAGTCGGCCGCAGCATGAAATGCCTGTGAGAGTAAACGATCAAAATTGTCGTTGGCGTTGGGAGGACGATAGACGCAGCCAACGAGTAAGGAGAACTTATTTTTTAGGGCAACTTGGAGTCAGCAGCTGCCTTATATTGTGGAAAAATACGGGAGGTCAAGCGCAAAGATGTAAGTGTTTGCTTAACGTGGACGCAGCTGCCCCCACCACGGCTATCTTGGCGATCATTTCGAATGCAATTTTAGCCTAGAATAGAGAGTTCGGAGTCAGCTACTGAGGCTGATGCCCACGTCTCAGTTACTAAAACAATATCAGGACAATGGACGAAAACCTGAGTCTGAAGCAAAAACATCTTATTAAGCAAGGATCTGGCATTTAAAACAAAAAGTTTGAAGGGAAAGGCTGTTAGTTTTTGAGGGAGGTGGGCTACATCGTCCAGTTCCGGGTCGCCAACGGAGCAAACGGTCCGGATGCAACCATCCGGTTGTGCAAAAAATTTTGTGGCATCAAAAAATTCTGACGTGGATAAAAAGGGGTATGACTTGGGGGAGGGAATGACGGGCAGGTAAACTGGTAACTATTGTTAGCTAACTTATTTTCAGCTGGAAATCCGCGGGGCAGATACTGCAACGTATTGCCGCCGGAACGAAACTGAGGATCGGATGAATTAACTGATTCAGTATGGACATTATCATGAGGAATAAATTGGTAAAACGGCCGTGGAGGAAACAAGTTAAGGGGTGGGGGACGCATTGTTTCCATTGGAGCAAGAGTTTTATTAAACGGCGGAAAAATCGGCATATTCGGCCTAAAGGCCTCAATATGAGGGCTGGGGGGCAGTTGCGAACCCGCTACGTTTTGAGTCGGGGTATTTGAGGCACAGTTAGCCGATTGTGGAAGAAAAGATTTTATAATGGTGCTGGATTTATTGGGTGTCCGAGTGGCTGAGACAGCAATTGGATTTGCCTTTAACTTAGACACATGCTTAGGCTTACTAGGGGTTGCTGGGGAAGTCGATAGAGGCGTGTTTATACCAGGCGTGATGGTGTGTTTAAAGAACTCAGCATTAAATTAGTCGAACTCCCTACGGAATTGACTATACCGTGATTTGCAGATGCCGCAGGGGGTGTTGTAGAGGAGGTATTAAGACTGACAGTAGGTGTCAGCGGTGGGTTCACGTGAAGGTCGTAGTGGTCGCTCACTTGCTTGCAGGTGAGACTACGCCTAGCGTCCACTTGCTGGCACTCAACTCTCACCTGTGGCTCCACGTAGCTGGGCTCTGCTCAGCGGCCACACCCCGGGCAACCGTCTCGACCGGCGGGCTAAACCAGGTGAGGGCGGTTACTCCCTGTGCGCGTTGTGCCCCGTGCACAGGTGACTGCGGACTCCGTGGACGGTTGGTCGGATGGAACACCGCGTCGGCGCTGTCGTGACGAGGCACTGCCTGACACACCGCTGGTCAGCCGGTTGGTGGTGGAACGTCGCATCGACATCGTCTAGACGAGGCTCCGCCTGGTACGCCGTTGATCAGCCGGTGGGATGGATCTCCGAATTGGCACCGTCGACACGCGCCCATCTGGTGCACCGTAGGAGACCGCAGGCTTGCGGCAATGCCGTAAGCCATTGGCAAATTCGAGTCGTTCTTCCACTGCCAAAAAAACTCGTGGCCCACAGTGGAGTTCGGCCGCGCCGGCACATCAAGCAGCCCCTATTCAGGGGTCAGGGCACTGCTTCCTTCGGGGGGGCCTGGAAAAGCTGGCCTAAAAATTGCTGGGGAACCACGTCGTCTGCTGGCGCACCGTGGTCGCAGACGCAAAACTCACGGTCGAAACAATCAAACTCGAAACGACAACAACAACCATACTCATTCTCATCATCCTACCTCTTCTACCTCTACCTCCGTCTATTCTTCTGCCTATTCTTCTCCTTCGTCATCTTCTTCTCCACCTCCTTCACATCGCCCCACTCGTTTTCCCCAGACTGACAGGGTGAGCCCGCTCACTCTGGCAGCCTGGAATGTTCGTTCCCTTTTAGACAATCCGAGGAGCAACCGACCGGAACAGAGGACGGCGCTAGTGGCACGAGAACTGGCGCGCTACAAGGTGGACATCGCCGCACTCAGCGAGACCCGATTCTCCGAACAAGGCCAACTGGAGGAGGTGGGTGCCGGTTATACCTTCTTCTGGAGTGGCCGACCCAGGGCAGAGCGACGAGACGCGGGCGTCGCCTTCGCCATCCGGACCGACATCGTGGGACGACTGCCCTGTTTGCCGCAGGGCATCAACGATCGCCTGATGAGCCTCCGCCTGCCTCTCTGGGGAGGCAAATTCGCCACCATCATCAGCGCCTACGCTCCGACGATGACCAACCCCGACGCCGTCAGAGACAAATTCTACGAGGACCTGCACGCCCTCTTGGCGACTGTGTCGAAGGCGGACAAGTTGATTGTCCTTGGCGACTTCAACGCCCGCGTCGGCACAGACCATACTGCCTGGAGGGGAGTGCTGGGTCCCCACGGTCTCCGCGGCTCCAACGACAACGGCCTGCTTCTCCTCCGCACCTGCGCAGAACACCGCCTCACCCTGACGAATACCTTCTTCTGTCTGCCGGTGCGAGAGAAGGCCACCTGGAGGCATCCTCGGTCGCGTCAGTGGCACCTGCTGGACTATGTCCTCGTCCGGAGGCGAGATCAGCGGGACGTGCTGGTGACGAAGGCGATCGCGGGTGCTGACGGGTGGACCGACCATCGCCTCGTCATCTCGAAGATGCGTATTCGCCTACAGCCTCGCAGGAGACCACAAGGTAAGCGACCCCCAGGTAAGCTGAATGTTGCTTTGTTGTCTTTGCCTGCTCACCGTCTCCATTTCAGCAATGAGCTAGCTCAACGGCTAGACAACCTTCCTATCGCTGCCGCCGCCGACGACGCCGCCGCCGCTGCCGAGAACGCCTCCGTGGAGAACCGCTGGTGTCAACTGCGTGACACAGTCCAGTCAACGGCGCTCGCCGTCCTCGGTCGCGCTCCCCGCCCACACCAGGACTGGTTCGACGACAACGACGCTGCCATCAGAAATCTGCTTGCCGAGAATAACCGCCTACACAAAGCCTACGTAGAGCACCCAACTGAGGGCAACAAAGCTGCCTTCTACCGCAGTCGCCGACAGCTTCAGCAACGACTGCGCGAGATGCAGGACGCCTGGACTGCTCGCAAAGCTGAGGAGATCAAAGGTTACGCGGACCGCAACGAATGGAAGAACTTCTTCTCCGCGATCAAAGCTGTCTACGGTCCGCCGACGAAGGGCACTGCTCCTCTCCTCAGCGCCGACGGCAGCACTCTCCTGACTGAGAAGACGCAAATCCTGCAGCGATGGGCCGAGCACTTCCGAGGCGTCCTCAACCGCCCTTCCGTCATCTCCGAAGCCGCCATCGCCCGCTTGCCGCAAGTGGCGACCAACGCGGACCTCGACCTCCCGCCATCTCTCCAGGAAACGATCAGGGCCGTGCAGCAGATCTCCAGCGGGAAAGCATCCGGATCGGAAGCAATCACTGCTGAGGTCTACAAGCACGGAGGTCCCCTACTGATGGATCACCTGACTGCGCTCTTCTAGGAGATGTGGCGTCAAGGTGAAGTCCCGCAAGATTTCAAGGACGCAACTATCGTGCACCTATACAAGCGCAAAGGGAATCGCCAAGTCTGCGACAACCACCGCGGCATCTCCCTGCTGAACATCGCCGGGAAGATCTTCGCACGAATCCTCCTCAACCGCCTCAATAACCATCTGGAACAGGGCCTTCTGCCGGAAAGCCAATGCGGCTTCCGTCGTCATCGTGGGACCGTCAGCTGCACGACGGTATGATGGCGCGAGTCACGGACAACGGAGCTGTCTCAGAGGCATTCACAGTGACCAACGGAGTGAAGCAGGGCTGTGTGCTGGCGCCTACCCTCTTCAGTCTCATGTTCTCTGCCATGCTGATGGACGCCTACCGCGACGAACGCCCTGGAATCCGCATCGCCTATAGAACGGACGGTCATCTCCTGAATCGCCGGCGCATGAACTTCCAATCGCGTGTATCCACAGCCACCGTGCATGAACTCCTCTTGGCCGACGACTGCGCCCTGAACACCACCTCAGAATTGGAGATGCAACGGAGCATGGACCTATTCTCCGCCGCCTGCGAGAACTTTGGGCTGGTTATCAACACGCAGAAGACGGTGGTGATGCATCAGCCGCCTCCCAGCTCAGCCACAGCCCCCAACGCGCCGCAAATCAACGTGAATGGGACTCAACTGCAAGTGGTAGAGAACTTCCCGTACCTGGGAAGTACCCTATCTCGCAACACCAAGATCGATGACGAAGTCGCCAACCGAATCTCCAAAGCCAGTCAAGCCTTCGGACGCCTCCAAAGCACAGTTTGGAATCGCCACGGTCTCCAACTGAGCGCAAAGCTGAAGATGTACAAGGCCGTCATCCTGCCGACATTACTGTACGGAGCAGAGACATGGACGGTGTACACGAGACAGGCATGTCGACTGAACCACTTCCACCTCAGTTGTCTCCGTCGCATCCTGAGGCTGAACTGGCAGGATCGAATCCCCGACACGGAAGTACTGGAACGAACGGGACTCCTCAGCATCTACTCCATGTTGAGACAAATGCAGCTGCGCTGGAGCGGCCATCTGGTGCGCATGGACGACTAGCGACTACCCAAAAGACTCTTCTACGGAGACGTCGCGACGGGTTCTCGTCGTCAAGGCGGCCGAATTCGCCGTTACAAAGATACTCCGAAGTCCTCCCTGAAGCGCCTGCACATCAACCCGACCAACTGGGAAGAGCTCGCCCGCGATCGTCCGACATGGAGGAGAACAGTGAAGACGGGCGCTGCTATCTACGAAGCCAACCGCATCGCCGCCGCCAAAGTGAAACGCGAAGTCCGCAAATCACAACTTCGCCCAATACGCAACGCCGCCGCACAACCTCTCCCTACGTGTCCTCGATGTCAACGGACATTCCGGGCACGAATCGGACTTGTTGGACATCTTCGAACCAACTGCACCTCTCGAACTGCTCCAGCCATCGTCCCCGCGCCCGCCTCTTCCTCGTCCTCTCTTCCGCCAACTAACTCTGACACTCCTTCTGCACCACCACTTCCATCCTCCTCCTTCTCCTCCACTGCCCCAGCGGTGGCCGTTCAGGCTGCCGTCTCACACATCGCCAACCACGACACAGCAACCGCAACCACCCCCACCTGCCCTCACTGCGACCGCACCTTCACTTCACACAACGGCCTGGTCGGTCACTTGCGAATCCATCGCACAGAGACTGGCGAACCAGTGCCTGGAGCACTAACCTACACCCACCGCACTCGCCTCCACTGCCCACACTGCCCTCGCACCTTCACGCATCGCATGGGTCTATTCGGCCACATGCGCATCCACAACGACCTGCGGTAGACAACCGCCGGTCACACCACACATTCCCTCACTCCCTACCTCCTAGCACCATCACCCCACTAGACGTCAACCCTCACACACCTCATGCACTCAACTGCCGCCTCCCACGCAAGTGGGAAGTGTGCATCTCGACTCGGTCTCCGTGTGGCCTCGGCTGCACGAGTGACTTGAGTCCGAGACTATCCCGACACGTCAAGTGTCGTGGATAGGAAGGTTGCTGATTGAGGCCCGCTCTCGGTTCACGCAGTTCGTCACGTTGTGTGTGTGTGTTGTGTAGTGGCGGACTGGTGGGCTGGGGACGGGCTGAAGCAGCACCTTCCACGGCCCTCTCACGCATGTGAGAGACACGCCGTTCAACCCCCGTTGTGTGAAATCCTGGTGTTTGTGTGTATGGGGGGCCAGGTCGTGCTGTGGCGCGCGCAGGCATGGTCAGTCGACCATGTCAGCCACCGCGCCCATTCCCCACTCCAGTCTACTGACCGGCTCGGACAGTGGCTGGGGTGTGGGAATGGGAAGGGAGAGTGAGGTCGACGACTCAGCGCATTTTCCTCACTATAAACAATCTGACGCTCTTGAAGCTATCACGGTGCGCTAAAAGCCGTGGCTTGGAAGGTTGCCAACTGACGGGGTACCTTGGACCTCCTCCTTGACCGGAGGCGGTCTGAGAGTCAGGCTGCAATGACTCCTCTTTAATGTGGCCTTTATGGCACTTCCACCACAGTGTGGGATCCGAGCCAGGCGTTGGCGGCACGCCTAGGTGCGGCTTCGGCCGTGCCAGCCTCCAAATCTCTGTTGTGTTGGTTGAAATCCTGGTTATTGTTGTGTGGACCAGGGGGTGTGGTGGAGCGCCAAGGTGAGGATCCGTCCGAGCCATCCACCTGCGGCCTCCCTCGTCTCCGGTCTTCTTGACTCTGTCTTGACACCGGGCTCAGGCGGGGGAGGAGGAGAGAGTGTAGGTAGATGCTACGCAAGTCTACTGGCACTGTAAACCCCTGCGTAAGTCACCGTCCCTGCTTTCACCTCTGCTGCAGCTGTGGGGCACACGGTGGACATCGTCGAAATCGACGGTCGAACTGTCAGGTGTCATTATCTTGGTGCCGGTTTTTGCCGATTTTAGTTTATTCAGTCTTCGATGCAGGGGTGTGAGGTCTGGCGAAACGGAGCAGCGCCATTTACGGCTGAAGTCTCTAGTTATCTCCCTACTCGACAAGATGAAATCGACATCTATCATGGAGAAAAGGGTAACTAGTATCGGCGCATTACGGCTAAGCGAGCGAAGTCGCATAGCTTGTGCGACACTGAAACTCAAGCCACAACTTTGTAGGAACACATGCGCTCCTTCCATAGCAGATAATTGGCTCGGAATGTTTCGCAGTACGAAATTATTCCTGCGTTTAATTTGTTCCTCAGTTTCCGAACTTACTACCCCAATAAGTTTAAAAGCTTGTTCAAGCACTTTTTCAGAAGTGCTGTTTATGTCTCCATAAATCAGCTGATCGATTATTTCGCCGGCTGATGGCCTGCTACGACTAGCAGAGGCGTATTTTTGGACGACTGAAGGGTCGAGAGGTTCTACATGTACTAAAGGGATTTGTGAGTTAATCAGATCTGCAGACGGCGAAGAACATACGCTGGCGTCTGCCATGTCTTCAGTCACGATTTTAGCACCCAGAGACGGTGGGGAGGCCGCAAGCTTTCGCCGTTTAGCACGAGCTCTGCGGGGCATTACAGACAGGAAAAGATTTCGTTACAGAAGAAGGGTCAACACGTTGCCAACGTACAGAAAATCGCTCTTAATAGCAAGTGCTACCGTTATTTAACTACGAAAAATAGAAAGAGATAGTAGGGAATGGAGTCACTACAAAGGTTTTTTACAATTTACGACTATTTTGCCAGACTGTCAAATAAAACTGAGAAAAATTATATCTTGTATTGAAAGGCGACTTTTAAAAGGGGCTCAAGTAAAAAACAGGCATTAGTTGCTTAAGAATATCCAGATAAATGCAGAGCTTCACTTAACTTTGAAATTCAGCTGCGCGCCTATATTTCCATCTCACTCAAGCCAATTGACGCCTTTGCCTGCCCCTAAACTTGCAGCAGCAGCAGCAGCAGCAGCAGCAGCAGCAGCAGCAGCAGCAGCAGCAGCAGCAGCAGCAGCAGCAGCAGCAGCAGCAGCAGCAGCAGCAGCAGCAGCAGCAGCAGCAGCAGCAGCAGTAGCAGCAGCAGCAGTAGCAGCAGCAGCAGTAGCAGCAGCAGCAGCCTCATTTGTCGTTGCGTTTCATCTGGACACATGAAAATCCATCTACATCAGCTAGAACGATAATTTCTCCTGTCCAGCTGGGTGCTGCAATCTCTACAGTTAAGTCACCCGTCGCTTGGCGTCAGAACAGTGAGACTCGAAAATTGAATCAGACCCCGACCCAAAAGATAGGTAGTACAGTTCCATTTAGGGGTACGACGCCTTCTCTTAGATCTTACATGTCTGTTCAGCCCAGCACCTCTACAAACCCCGCAGCTCCAATTATATCCTCGAATAATTCTCTGTCCTGCGTACTGGTTTCTTACCAAAGTGCCACTCTATATCCAGCAAATAATTCATACATGAATGGCCCTAAGTCATTTATGCCCCAACCTAGTTCAGGCATCCCAAAACTTAAGGCCAATTGCAATCAGGTACGTCAACCTACCTCCTTTGACTACCAACCAAGACCTGGTTTCCCAACCTTTTATTCTTATAGCTGCGTTCCCTCACCCAATAGCCCCTACTTTCCTTCTAGGCTTCCTCCACCTCCCCTTCCTCCACAATTTAGCTACCAACAAGTCTATCCATGTTCTAACTCCCCTAGCAGTTCAATGTTTAAAAACTTTATCCCCACATCCTTTAGGTCTCATACTCAGCCTTCTCTTGCTGACTCCCCGTACGTCAATAACTCTAGACTAACTGGTACTTATTCTCCAAGTGTAATTAATTCACACCTTACACATCCGCCTTCAAATTTTTTAAATACCGCCGAAAATGGCATTGCCGTTCGAAACAAATTAGATATTATATTATTGAATGCCAGGTCAGTTATAAAGGAGATGGCCCAAATCAGAGCCATTGCTCTCGAAATGACGCCTGATATTATATGTGTACCAGAATCTTGGACCCATACTCCACTTCCTGACTCTGCCCTTCTCATAGATGAATTCGGTTTTTACCGTCAAGACCGCAATATTAGGCGTGGGGACGGTTGTATTCTTTATCTGAAATCCTACCTGAAGCACTAAGTCAGTTTAAGTCAGTTTATTTAGGGAATGAGGCTTTCGCCCTTGAGCTCCCTATTTATATCGATAAACAGATATAAAGTCATCAATTACATCAGCAAATGCGAAAAGTTTAGAAGTTAGCAGTAAGTGTGAGCTAGGCGCAAACTGCCGCCGCTAAAACAATCATTATTTTATGTACAGTAGGTTCTCAACAAGTGAGCGTCAAGTCTGCACTTGAAGGATTTGACACTTTCGGAAAGAACGACGGCGTCAGGTAGTCCATTCCATGCCCCGATGACCCTGTGAGAGAAGGCGTTCCGTCGGACGTCCGAATGAGCCCGCTTCCTTTGCAGTTTGAACGGATGACCACGCAGACGGTCAGTCCGGGCCAATTCAAAGAATTCATCAAAGTCTAGGG